GACACATTCAAGGACCTTCACATCCTTCTTAAATTGTGGGGCCCAGAACTGCACGCAGTACTCAAGGTGAGGCTACACCAACACCAAATACAGCGGGATAATCACCTCTTTTCACCAGCTGGTTATACTGTGTTTGATGCACCCCCAGATGTGGTTTTCCCTCTTGGCTGCCAGGGCACACTGCTGACTCGTATTGAGCCTGCTGTTGATCAGCATATATATTAATATCAAAGATTTTCTTAACATTTTCACAGAACTATCCATAATAATATTATCTCAATGCTCAGAAACAGTCAAAAGGGCAGGCAATGATAGGAATTCTTAGGAAAAAAAAAAAGGACAGAAGACCTATTTAGTTTATGATATCTTCAGCTCTACACAGTGTTGTTCATTTAAAAATAATAAATGGAGAAGAGTGATGAAAATTATCAAAGGTGTGAAACAACTTTCACAGAACTATCCATAATAATATTATCTCAATGCTCAGAAACAGTCAAAAGGGCAGGCAATGATAGGAATTCTTAGGAAAAAAAAAAAGGACAGAAGACCTATTTAGTTTATGATATCTTCAGCTCTACACAGTGTTGTTCATTTAAAAATAATAAATGGAGAAGAGTGATGAAAATTATCAAAGGTGTGAAACAACTTCCATAGAAGAAAAGTTTAAATAGCAATTTCTTCAGCTTGGAAAGATAGGACTGAGAGAGATTGTAATAGAAGATTGTAAAATCGGGAATGACATGGAGGGAATAAATAAGGAGTGACCATCAGCTACATCTTACAGCAAAAATTAGGAGATACCCGATTAAGTTGTCAGGGAGTCGAGAAGCAGTTTTTCAAACTGCAGAATTGAGTTGTGAGAAATTAAAATCTGAAGCTCATTGTCGTAAGTGTTTTGGATATCAAAAACGTGAATGGGTTTAAAAAAAAACAACTGTGCAAATTCATAGAAAAAAATGTCCAATGAGATTTATTAAAACACAGTGATATAAATACCCTCTTTGTCATACTGAGTCCCAAACTGCTGTTTCCTGGAAGTTAGGAGGCTTTGTCAGGGAAGGAACTACTTTCTTGCTTCTTAGGTGCCTTTTGCAAAACATCTGCTACAGGCTACTATTGCAGACAGACGCCATCTGTCCATTTTTATTTTTGACACACTTAAGTATAGGCCTAAAATTTTAAGCAGTGAAGCAATTGCATTTGAAATTATGATCATGCATATAGCCTGCTTGAATTACAGTACAGATTTTTACATCACACACTTTATTTACAATATATTCTTACAGTATAATTCTTGCTTATTCTAGTGTTATAGAAAATATTGTTTAGACAGGTAAAGGAGTTTTTACTGTTATGTTCACACAGTTTCAAAAGCAGGAATAGCTCTGCTTTGAATATCCCAGTGATATAACTTCTTTTACTTGATTATACACAAAGAATGCACAAGCTGTCCAAAGTTATATTCAAACAATGTATTATTCATAACCGTAACAAGTAAAATATTTTATTTGGTTTTTTATCCTCTATTCTGTATTGGTATGTTTTTCCCACTTACTATTAATGATGAATTACAGTCATAGGGCATCCTGTAACAACAAGTGTCTTGGGCGTCGGCGGCTTTCACTCCATGCATTCACAAAGTTCCTGAGCACTGTACTAGGAACGCGATGGGAGATCTGTCAGTCTATCTTTGCCTTCACTGGTTCCAAATAATCCCTTATCTTCCAGCCCTTGGATCTATGTAAGTACTTTTGAAATTAGGAGCTTTTAAACATCTAGGATCATCAGTATTTGTTTTGTGGGATGTATTTGCTTGTTTTTAAACTTGTGCTATCACATGCTACTTGGAATTTTAATATCCCGGCATGAGCTGTCAATTAGCTTCCTTGAGCAGAGAACTCCTTTCAGCGGTACCCATTGACTTTCAGGGAGGTATGGCAGCTGGCTTTCTCTAAACTATGGAGGGGGAAAAATGAAGAGATACATCAGACTATTTTGGGGGGAAAAAAAAGTGAAATACATTATGCTAACTTTCATTGCCTTCAACTCAATTTCACCTAGCTAGTAGGTTATTTTAGAAGGGCTGCAATATATGTATAATTGGGCTAAAATTTCCCCTTTCCTAACCTGGACTAACAGTTTTCATTTCACAGTTTTTTCTTTTTTTAAAGAATCTCTTTATCCAGTGTAATAACTTCTTTTCTTTTGGGATTTCCCTGTGTCCTGGTTTCAGCTAGGATAGAGTTAATTTTCTTCCTAGTAGCCGGTACAGTGCTGTGTTTTGGATTTAGTATGAGAACAATGTTGATAACGCACCCATGTTTTAGTTGTTGCTAGGTAGTGCTTACACTAGTCAAGGACTTTTCAGCTTCCCATGCTCTGCCGACTGAGAAGGCTGGGGGTGCCCAAGGAGCTGGGAGGGGGCACAGCCAGGACAGCTGACCCAAACTGGCCAAAGGGACATTCCATACCATGTGACGTCATGCTCAGTACATAAACTGGGGAAAGCTGGCCGGGGGGGCCGCTGCTCGGGGACTGGCTGGGCATCGGTCGGCGGGTGGTGAGCAATTGCATTGTGCATC